TCAGTTCAATCTTTTTCCTTATTTCTTTGCGACTCCAGCTGATGGTGCACAATAACACAATGCAACACAAAGAAACCTCCAAAAATAGCAAATTACAACCCTTATGTTGTGCATGCTTTGATTCCTTTCCTCTTTTTCTTTTGTCTTTTAATCAGAATCGTATCCAGAAACACATCTCTCTGTTTAAGGCTCCTTCTTTTATAGCATGATGTTGTTGTTTTATTGCATTTTTCTTCCTTTTTTCTCTAAAAAACTCTGTATTACGCTTTATTCCAGCAAAAAGAGCTACATAACTGGGAGATTTTTAGGGTTTCTAAATGCTAGTGTCCATTTTTTCCCCTTTTGTGCATCAACTTATGATGGAAATGTGTTGAATGTGTGTGTTTATGTCAAAGAAAACACACAAATCAGATGTATGACAGAAGCTAGTTGCATTTTCCACAATAGATTCAGCAGGTTAAGAGTAAAAACAAACTGTGTGAGACACTGTTGCATCTATTAATGACGTTAGAGCTGTTTTTCAAAGCAAAAGTCTTCTGATTTTTCCACATTTTTTATTGGGAATCTCCCTTTAGATCAACGCTCACACCCACCAATCAGCAGAATCCACACTGACCTATGTGGGATTTGCAAGAAAACTAGATAGAGCAGATGTCATGACCCCATTTCAATTCATTTTCTGCGTTACACTCCTGAGACATGCAGCAACAGTCTCGTCTAACCTGCTATAAAGCTGCTAATTTAGTGTTAGCAGCGATTTATGAGCTGTTTTATTGGCGCCTGAGGTCTCCAGAGCCATGAGCAGAACAGCAGGGTTAGCAGAAGAAGAGCAGGAGAGGAGTTTGTAGGTAATGAATTCAGTCGCTCCGTCCCAACCTGCCTGCTCGGTTTCAGCACCACGGACAGAAGCAGCTCCGTCACATCTGATGTTTCATGTGAGAAAAAACTCTTGTGTGTGTTTGTTTGTTTGCAGCGTTTGCCGCTAGAGAGAGGAATCACCATCCGGCTGGCAGATCTCATCAAGCGCTCCAAAGCACAGCAGTTCCACGGCCTGATGGGAAGAAGCTCGGGTAAACAAACAAACAAATCAACAAGGGCCTTATTGCACTTTACGGAGACTTTACAGTTGATTTGTAGTAACTCTAGTCGCTACACAAACTCGCTGGTATTTGTTTTAATTTCAGTTTTTATCTCCTCTCTGTTTCAGGTGCGTCTCGACCCGTCAGACTGGGCAGGAAAAGTGAGTAAAATCACATTATTATGTTCGTCTATTCTTCTTTTGAAATCGGCAGCTGGAGGGTGATTCGGTTTCTTCGTGAAAACCTTTTCTTCTTCTTCTTCTCTCTGCGTCTCGTTTGTCAGGGAATAAAGGGGAGATGTTTGTTGGACTCATGGGCAGAAGGAGTTTAGGAGAAGGTAAGACGAACTCGACGTGTCCTCAGTGGAAATAGGATGATTCAGGATGATAATATTTTAGTATGACAGCAAAAAAAAAGTAATTTTCCTCCTTTCTGCACAAATGCTGAAGTGTTGTGTAACTGTTTTGATGGAAAAATGTTTTATTGTGCTCACTTTAATGGTATTTTATCGTTTTTGTGCTTGTTTGAAACCAAAATAATGAAAAATCAGACTTCTGTGCTTTTTTCTTTCAGTCTGAATGAATTAATTTTGTTTTTATATGGGCTAGATATATGACAAATATAAAAATCCAACACATAAGACGTAGATTTAAACAAGACATGAACTACATTTTCATCAAATAATGACAAACATGTTGTGTTTGTTCATATCTAGCAGCTGATTCATCTAGAATAGTCTTGAAGTTTTATCCATCATGTTACCTTTCTCCATATTTTCCCCATATTTAGGAAGATACTTAGAAAATGTCGTAAACTTTATTCAAAAAGAACAATATTTGTGCATAAACCTGAATAAATGATTGAATGAAATGAATAAATCCTGAATTTCCTCTATGGGGATCAATAAAGTATTCTTAGCTTATCTTATCTTATCTTATCTTAACTTAACTTAATTTAACTTAACTTGTCTTGTCTAATCTTGATCTTAATCTTAATTTGTCTTAACTTAGCTGATCTAATCTAATCTAATTCTAAATCTAAATCTTAATCTTAAACTTAATCTAACTTAATTTATCTTAACCTATCTTAATTTATGTTAATTTATCTAATCTAATCTAATCTAATCTAATCTAATCTAATCTAAATCCTAAATCTAAATCTTAATCTTAACTTATTTTATCTTAAACGACAATACAAAATTACAAGGATTTAATTCTCCAGTTCATTTAGTTCACAATTTACTCTTTTTTTTTTCATTTCCAGTTGCACATCTGCATCTTTAGTTTCCATGTATAATAGCAAAATACCAAATGAACACATTTTTCCTATTTGTCATCGTCCCCCAAGAAAGAAAACCTTATACCTCTAACATTTAACTCTTCTTCTCCCCTCAGACACGCAGGAGGAGTGGCAGTCTTACTGAAGATGAATAAACCAGTCACCTCACCAGTCATAACCCATTCAACGTCCCATTCAGTCCTACGTTGTTGATCGACAGGACGGAGAGGCGACGCACTCCGACGGTGGGAGAGAGACGAAAATCTGAAATAAAGCTGCTGCCAATCACCGACGTCACTGCCTGTTCATGAATCTGTGTCTCCTCCGTGATGTTTCAAAACGTTTATGTCTTTTAAAGGAGTTTGCTTATCTCGTGCCAAATCTATTAAAGATCATTACATTAGCCGAGTGCCTCTTTTGTTTTCTCTCCTCCGTTGTAAAAAATAATGAAACTGGTTTGGAAAGTTGGAGCAGCATGAGATAGAAGATGTGGTAAAAGTCACTCCATGATGGCTCAGCAATGACTTGATGAATGAGGCCTTGTTTCCTTCATGGAGCTCTGTGCATCTGCCTGCATCATTTCTTAACCCTCTGATTACCTTCAGATCTACCGACATCTTTTATCTTTGGGTTCAATTTGACTCCAGCAATTTAAACCTCCAGAAAATATCACAATTAAAATCGTTACCGAAGTTTATGTGCAGATATTCCTTAAATAAAGCTGAAAAAATTCTGTGAATGACTTATTTAGAGCCGTTAAACATTAAAGACAACAGGAGGGTTAATTTATTTGGTATCTAAACATGACATGAGGCAGTTTAAAGAAGAGCGGTGATGACTGAAGCAGTGCAGGCTCACAAATTTTCGATTAAAGCGTGGAAAAGTCTTCTCAAAACAAACCTACATTTCCCATAATGCACCTCAGCAGCTTCTCTTTACTTCAATAATCGGTCTTGTGTCAAATTCCACGTCATAAATCTCTCACCATGACTTCATTTTATGTATTTGGTCGGTGGAGACACACAGACGCGACAGGAACAAGCCTCGTAGGTTTCTAATTAAGGTTATAGATTATAAAAGAAAAGTAAACACACGTTTATTTATCAGCCTTTATTTAAACTACACTGAAGCCTTAGTTACCGTACAGCACTGCAAAAACGCTAATTAACCACACAAATAAGAACCCGAGATAAAAAACCCGGCAATAAACGCATTAAAAAGGTAAATTTATCCAATAATAAAACCATTAAAGGATATGTTGTTGTCTGCATGCAGGTGCACAGAAGGTAAATCTGGACTTTCTATCTGCGACGTGATCCGATTACGTGGACGTGTTTGGTCCGGTGCTGTGTTGTAAAACAGCAATTAGGCAAAACGAGCCGGTAAAAACCTCCAACTGCCTTATAAATCGATAAAAGCCGGAACGTGTCAGGCCTCGCGCAGAGGGAGGCCTCAGCTCACAGGGACGAGCGCTACAGTGAATATGTGAAGATAAATCTGAGTTCAAACCGAAGCAGCCGGTGGGCTTTGAAAGGTGAGCTTAGTTTTAAAGATGACACCATTTATCAGAGCCAGAAACAGTGAAAAGCAGAAAGAGATTGAACTAATCATGTGTGGTTATGTGTGGAAAGATCAACAAATCTAAGCTTCAAATTGGGATGTTTCGTCTAAATCACTTTATTCTACGCGTCTCATTCAAACGTTCACTTTAAAACGAAACTGTTTGCTTTGGCTCCTGTGCAAAACAAAACAAAACCCAAAAAATCTGAGCTCCTCAGCTGAACTGCAGGCAGTGTTTACAGAAAGCAGAAAGAAGAAGAGACAAGAGGGACTGAGTTTCTAATAAAAAAAATACCTGATCAGTAAAATAAATACATCTTGGCAGCATACAGAGGAGCACGTTGTTGGAGGAACTAACTTGTCTTGTCTTATCTTAATCCTAATTTATCGTATCCAATCTTAATATTAGCTTAATTTATCTTATCTTAATTTAACTGATCTGATCTAATCTAATCCGAAATCTAAATCTTAATCTTAAACTTAACCTAATTTATCTTAACCCATCTTAACTTATTTTATCTTAACTGATCTGAGGGCAGTGTCTACACAAAGCAGAAAGAAGAAGACAAGAGAGACTGAATTTATAACAAAACAGACTTGATCAACAGAATAAATGCAGCTTGGCAGCATACAGAGGAGCACGTTGTTGGAGGATACATCCAACAGGGTGAAACATGTGTGTAGGGTTGATGCAAAAAACACGATTTATAGAAATAAACATGTGACCCGGCCTGGTCCAATCGTCTGTCTAAAGCATGTAGAGCTCCATTATTTCCCAGCATGTATTTATGGTTTCAAATCCATGACAAATGTCCCTCTTTTTATATTAAAAACGAATCTCCAAATATAAAAAATCAACACCTGTCCCCTAAACCAAACGGCCTGAATAGGGTTGAATTACAAACTACAATTTTATGCATCATTGGCGGAGCATCCCTTTAAATTGTTGCATATTTTATGCTGTTTTGTCAGCATAAATAAAAGATATTTATCACAATCACTGACTGTTTTTTTATATAACACCTCAACTTTTTAAATTTTCTATTAACTTATCGATCAGTTATGCATTAGTGAGCATTAGCTGGTTCCAGGCAACCAACTCTAAACTGACATCTGGTACAAATTTCTTAATCTCAGCGTTGTAATCAAATCGTTTTAATTTTGTTTTCCATCTAATTTTTAATTTTTTAAGCCTGTAGGTTGATTTTAACTTGAAGCTTGTCTTTTTTGGAGTGTTTTCTCAACATAGTAGAAAATTTAGTGCTTGGTTGGCAGAAAGGAAAACGATGCACGTTGAACTGAAGTAATCAAGCTTGGATGGACAACAAGACTCTATATCCTTAAATCCAGTTTCTACGTGTGCGTCTTTGTTTTTCCTTCTCTTTGAGCCCCCGTCATCCATCAGTAACATCTGTAAACCAACCCGGTTGCTCTATAATAAAATCTGGCTTGACGACGTCCACGAAGCAGCGACTAACTAACTACAACAAGCCCTCGTTAGCCATTTGTCTCCATCTTCCTTATTAGCTTTACAAACTGACCAGACCTCCACAATCCTTCACCCCATCAGGGCGCTCATCTCGTCGCCCGGGACGACGGCGCACACACAAAACAACAACACACGTCGTTCGTTTCACCGTTTTGCATTTATTGAAGAGGAAGGTGAGGGAGGAGGAGGAGGAGGAGGAGGAGGAGGAAGGTAGAAGCAAGTACAAAAGCACGACTGAGCTACATATCGATGCCACGCTACGTTTGTGTGTCGCTGCTTTGTGTGAGAACCACAACAGCTCGCTGGTGACTGATGGGAATGCTTTCTCTAAGTGACTCCGATCCTATTCAGACGTGTGTTAACAACCGGCTGCACATCTATAGCTGCCATCGGCACAAGAGGGGAAGACGACGGGGTGACACGAAGAGAAACACAGATGTGATGTTAAAGACGGGCAGGTCTGGTTAAAAAAAAATGAAAAAAATGGCACATTAAGGGAGAAAAGATTCATTTTTTTGTTGTTTTTTTTTGATGCTCGACACATCCCAGAGGCCTTTTTTTCTTGTGACAGAACAATGGTACATTCATTTTTCTGCAGGTCTGTCAATTATCAGAACAGTGACAGCTTTAAATAAAAAAAAAAATTTAAATTCTCAGGCGCTGAAGCTAAAATCTCTCCATGAACAAAAGTCATGTACGAAGCGTCGGCATCACAAGTGTGTTTTAGTACAAAGATTTTTTTTTTCCTTTAAAAGTCCTTCAAAAAAGTAAGTGCACTTCCCTGTTAATGCACTTAAGAGTTGGCAAAAGAAAAAAAACAACCTGCCTACACTTAACGAAGGTCACGAGTAGTTGGAGATTTATCGGACGCAGGTGCTAAAAGGATGAATGTAGTTCTCGGAAACCGGCGGCCCGTTAAGTATTGATTTGAAGTGTCGGCGCTGCGACTCTCCTCCCTCGCCTTAAGACTCGACGAAGACAATTAACCACAAGGGCTGGAGACGAACACGTGGAAGAAACTCGTCCACACGTGGTCGAAAGAAAACGTCACGCACACGGAGAAACATCCTCACGAACGGTTAAAGGCAACTTTTCTTACAAAAGAAGAAGCGAACGAAACGTTTAGAAGAAAAATGTGAAAATGTGGCACGAAAAGCGTCGCGAAGATTAAACGGTTGATTCAACGAGACGTCGCCAAGTGCCGTCCAAAGCTTATGTTTAAAGAGTAGCACGACATTTAGCTTTCTGAGAGTTAAGCTAACTCGTCTGTATGGTAGCAGCCAGTTAGCGTAGCTTAGCACAAAGACTGAAAACAAAGGGAAACTGCTAGCCTGCCTAAAGCCAATTAAATCAACCGGAGAGCAAATCTGAAGCTCATTAGTTCATGACTTGTTTGTGGTTTGAACAAAAAATGAGCCGCAGAAGCGGGTTGCTATGGAATTATTGACTTCCAGAGAGAGTTCGACGCTCTGACGAAAGCTAAACAGTTTGAGTAATAAAAGAAATAAACATCTAAATTCTCTGATTCCAGCTTCTTAAATTTCAAGTTTTCTTGTTTCCTTCTTCCACTATGATGGTAAACTTATCATCGTTGGCTTGTGGACCAAACAAGACATTTGAGGACACCATTTTGGGCTTTTTAAAACATTTTTTCTTAATATATTTTTTTGGATTTTTGCCTTTTTATTTCGAGTTGAACCCACAACCACTGCGTCAGGGACCTTTAGTCCCCGTTTATGGGTCAACTAGGTGAGCTATAGGGGGCGCCATCTTGGGCATTTTTCGCCATTTTCAAACATTTTCTCGCCACAACAACCAAACAACCGATCAGGAAGTTAATCACTAAATTGAAAATGATTGTTAGTTGGAGCTCTGTTTGTAATGATGAGCTTCGTCGGCCGTGTTTCCCTCAAAGCAGCGATTTCAACTGGTTGAAAAACAACAATTCAAGAGTCACGCCGGCTGTTTCCTCTTGCGATCAATCGATGTGATCGATGTAACCTGCTGCTGGCTGTAGCTTCACACGTTGAATACAGACATGAATCAGTCTTTGAGCTTATTTACCAAAATATCGAACGATTCCTTTCAAAATAACAAAAAAAACTTAAACGCTAGTTGCAAAGTTAACACCCAAATGAATAAATATTGAGATTGTCAGTAAATTAAAATCTGCTTTCAGTCAATCACAGTTATTCTGGTAGATTAATCGTAGCAACTGGACGTTCCACCTCTCATCTAAGAGGCTTCATCAGTTCTGACTGACTAGTTGGGGGTTCCACATGCTTGTATCCTTAAGGAGCCATTAATGACTTGAGTTTCGGTTTTAATTGGGTGTTTGTTGCTCCTCCCCCTCGTTATGTGAGTCATTAGTTGAAGGGTGTTCTTCCCAAAGTGTCTGTGAAGATTCTCAGTCATCCAGGTCACAGTTACCCGACTCACATAACGAGGGGGAGGAGCAACAAACCTCCAATTGAAACTCAGGTGTTAATGGCTCTTTAAGGATAGAAGTATCTGGAACTCCCAACTAGTCAGTCAGAACTGATGAAGCCTCTTGGATGAGAGGTGGAACGTCTTCAAGCAAGTTGCTATCATTAATCCACCAGAACAACCACGACCTGGACGACTGAGAGTCTTCACAGACATCACAGTCTGAACAGAAATGTAAAAGACAGACGGGCGCTTCTGACGAGTGACGATGTGCAAAAATGACACGTTTTGATTGAGTCGCTTTCGATAGCAGGAGATAAAAAACCTCTGAAATGGAAATGAATGACTTGTGTCATTGTCTTGTTGCTGGTGGGGGGGCGGTGGGGTTCTCCCTCCTGTACCTTTAAAGAGCTTCTGGACACATTCAGGTCTACATACAGTTTTTAGATAAATATTTATATTCACAAGGAAGCCAGTCCTACAAAGTAGACATTCCTCTACGGTCCTGTACGTTCTACGCAGTTAACATATTATTTTAAGAATATAAATAGCTTTTTTTTTTGTCTCTTTTTCTTTTTTTTTTGTGTAAATCTAGTTTTAAAAAAAACAAAACAAAAAACACACACATTGGGCAAACACAGCTACATATTTCAAGTGTTAACACGAACAATAAAAAAAAACAAAAAGGAGAACATAGAAGCTTCAAATGGGCTGTTCTAGCTTGTATACAGTGGTAAACCCTCAGAGGTAGAAAAAAGTGTTTGAGAACTTTAACAAAAACCAAACAAAGGACACAGAAAACACGGCGACACGTTGGTGAGCTTCGGCACAACTTCCCAGAATGAGACCGGAGACGTCATGAGATAAAAAAAAAAAAAAAAAACAGGGAACAGGTGGGAACACACATCCAGGCAGCTTCCTCCCTGGTGCCGGTCCAGACGAGGCCAGTGGCAGCTATAGTTTCCTGGTTCACCGACGGACTGGTGAGATGGGTTAAATACCGAACACGATGCGTGTTTGTTGCACGAGAGAGAAGCTGATTGGTTCTGGGTTCAAACAGCCGCCGACGGTCCGTAAACGAGGTAAAACATCTGAAACCATCTCGGCTCTGTTGGTGCAGCGCGGTCTGATCTTCACATGATGTAATAAAACAACACAGTGACGTTTTTTTTACCGGTATTGTTTTGTTTTGTTTCAGATCAGAAGCGACTCTTTTCCGGTGGGAACTCTTCGTTTAGTCACGCGACCCGAGTGCCAGATTGAGGTCAGGGCTCCTATTCTTAGAAGTCTGATGCATGGCCGGCCCTCGTCCTGGTTAATCACAGCCGGCTGCTCTGCCAAAACACGTTTTGTTGTTTTATTTATGCAGCCGAGAACAGAAAAGAAACGCGGCGCAGGTACGACTCTGGCCGCCGTAGATTGGATTAGCGAGTGCGTCTGGCGCTCGGCGCTAATGAAGTGTCTGGAAGGAGGCGAGCAAAGACGCACAATTACTTTCATTATTCAGGTGACGAATGAGGTCGAAGCGGCATCAGCGGCCGTCCTGCGTACGCCGACGTCACTGGCTGCTGTGGAGCTCATTACTCTGTGTTTTAACTGGATGTTAAATGTGAATCTCAACAATGTGTGAAATGTACGAACGAATTATTAAAACTCTTGATGAAATATCATAATAATCATTTTCAGAAGAAGTAACGAGGTCATCGTTTAATTTCCTTTGGTCAGTTCTGAATGAGTGACGGAGAACATGTTCGTCCTTTAACAGACATAACTTCTGTCGTCTCGGACTCGATCTCAGCTCTTTGTACAGCGTCTCTCGGTCAGTGCTGCTGTGATGGTACTGTACAGCGCAGTTCACCCCTCGAGTCCAAACCAGGATTAATTAATTAAAGTCAGGTTTTCAAATTGAGCTCAAGTGAAATGATCTTTTTAAAATGGTCTGTTTCATATTTAGATCTGAATGAAGTAAAGGTACGGAAAGAGTTAGCAGCAGAGTATAGGAAGTCTGTTATGGCTTTTTTTTTTTTTTTAGCTAATTTTGAATGCAGCTGCTGCTAGTTTAAGTAAAGTTCATGTGATTGGCTGAAAACTTATTGTCATAGAAAACTAATATAAAAACAAAAAAGAGACTTCAAATATATCTATTCTTACTAACCTGCGTCAGAATGGTAAAATAACATTTTAGAGTTTGACTAAGTGCTTCACAAATTGTTGTTTCATTTGATGGTTTATACCAGTGGTTCTCAAACTGGGGGTCGAGTTATTAAAACGCTCCGCAAAAGTCTGACGGTGCAGAAATGGCGGCGCAATTTCGATGAAAGGCCATTTTGCTTATTTTCCAGCATTCAACGGAGTCCCGTCAGAGGGTCGTTTCACCTACACCTACACAATTCGCTGGGCATGTGTAGCAGGTCGGGACGCACAAAAAAGTCAATCAGCGCCAAGCCCTAAACCCAACAGGAAGTCCACCATTTTGAAAAAACACAATTTTGGCGATTTTCGCTCATTTTCAAAATCTACCTTCTCCTACTGGGAAGGTCATACACACCTGAAATTTGGCCAAGACAAACTACAGGAGGTGGTGATTAAAAGTTAGTCAACCGGTCTGCAAAAGTCTGACGGCGTGGAAATGGTGCCCCCTAGAATTTGGCCACAACGCCATAAAATGCCATAAAACGCCAGAATATGAGACGTGCTGTGTAACTGGCCTGTATGTGCTCCGAATCTCAGCCACAGCGCGTTTCCGCCACGGCCAACACGTACGCCGCTGTGGCTCGCCATTAAACAGGAAGTGGCTCGTAACTAGGCCGCACGTGCTCCAATTTCTACAGAACCCCAACATGTGCGAAGGCTGACAATCGTACGGCGAGGACCCGTCCATGCCGCTTGTGGCTTTAATTATTCTTTGTTGCTCTTTTTTAAAATTATTTTCTTTTGTTTTTATATTTTTTTCCCTTTTATTTGCTCGAAATAAATTCAATTCATTCAAGAGATCAATCTGTGGAATTAACACATTAATTCATGAACAACAAAGTTATTACTCATGATATATTAGAAATTCAAATTAGGGGGTCACGAACACAAACTTTTGTTATCTTGGGGGTCGTGGCTCTAAAAGTTTGAGAACCGCTGGTTTATACGACTGCTCATGTGACTACTTCATTCATAATTACCTAATTAATTGATTATTGACCTCATGCCCACACACGGGCGTGTTGTTTAAGGACATTAGTGCATGAATATTTGTCATTATTTAAAAAAATGTGATCTTTAAAGAAACTTTGAGCAACAGTAGGCTGTGAAGAGAGAAAATCTAGTTTAGCATTTCATCCAACAAGGTGTTTAGTTTGTCTTTAAAGTACTTCAAACCATAACAGTGTCTTTCCCCCCAATGCATTCAAGGTTTTAAGGACATCTTTAGCTGCACTGATGCTTTTTTATATTTGTTACTAATCAGTCATAGATTAGCTGTTACTTTTCATATTACAATATGTTTCAAGTGTTTACTTCTTTTGGAAGTCGTCCTTTGAGGCTTTTCAGTCAACAGAGAACTGGTTTGGTTTCGGGCCACAATCAGAAAAAGTCTAAACGTGTTGGTTCCCAGTGGGAGCCGGATTCCAGTCGGGTCTGAATCCTGATGACGAATAGTAGACGTGAAAACAAACCAGCAAAGTGTTTGACTTGGTCATCTGGAAAAAAAATCTACTTTTAGCGTCACTGTGGACATCTGCTGCGTTACTGCAGAAGCTCGAAGGCCTCAGAAAAGTAAACTGTGTGCAGAACAGAGAACAACTTGAACCCAACTTAGACCGTCTCAGCGGCTGCTTGAACCCAGAGGAACGGCGGACTGTAAGTTACTGTAGCTGCTGAAAGCGTTTAGTACAGGAGTGTGTGAGGGTTTTAGGCTCAGGGTCTGTGAGCATGCCAGTGTACGGAGAAGGATCTGTCGGTTTGTGTGTGTGTGTGTTTCTCGGGGTCTGGAGTGTGAACGGGAAGGTCCTTTACGTCCCTTTAGGCGGGGTCCATTTTAAGGCTGTGGGGTCGATGGTCTTTCCGTTGCCACGTTTGGTCTCCTTGGCCTTCCAGTCGTCGATGAGGTCCTTCAGATAGAAAACATCCCTTAGCGGTGGAACAGAGACTCAAACTTCAACAATAACAAATGAGCTGCCACCTACATACCTGTCTCTTGAGAACCAGGTGCTTTCCCTTCCAGTACTTGAGCATCTGGAGGGACTGCAGTGTGCTGACAATATCCACCGGGTTCACTGCTGTTTCCTGGCTGATTTCTGTGAACATAGATAAGAGTTAAAAGGGCCGAACAGGACTTTCTGATCAGCAGCTCGAGAGTCTGCAGCCATATTAGCAACTCCTTCTTCGGTTAGCATGTTAGCTAACTCATTAGCTGAAGCTAAAGGGAGCAGCTTTAGCAACAGGCTGAACATGTGGCATGGGTAATTAAAAATGAAACTTCTACTTATGTTATGCATCATGAGTGTGGCTTGTGCCGATTCTCTGAAAAACATTATCTCCAAGTACGACCGCGTTCTCAGCTCTTTGTGAAACATCGCAGTTTAGTCAGAAGTAATCAAAAGGCTGTTGAATGATGATTAAAAACCCACTTCGTACATGGTTTGCCAACCTCAGCAGTCAGAGCACAGAGATGCAGAATCACGGTAGTACAGGAAGATTACACTGAATGCAGAACGGGATGACTCACAAGAGCTATTTGTGTTTCTCTGTGTGAGTTAAAAACATCTTACAAAATTTAGAATATCTTGAACAAGTTTTAAAAAAGGTCAAAAGAAGGAGGACAAAAGAAGATTGTGGCTGTGAGGGAACAGAGCGTTACTACTGGAGCTGGTCACACTGATCTGGTTGCTGTCTGACTCTGGTGGAAGTCTATTATTTAATGTGTTTGTTACCCTCTATTTACTGTGATATATGAATGTGAGGTTTTA